GTACTCGTGAACGATTGGTTTTCCAGCCCACAAAGTTTCAAGCCAATTCGAGATGAGATGACTGACATATGGAACTGCCTGCAATATTTGGGGGACATAGGTAGAATCATGTGCTTGGACGTTGATATTATTGTCATCGATTGGTCAAAAATAATCTTAATTTCCTGACGAGTGGACGTCCACTATAGTATTACTATTCCAGGAGTATGGTCGAGTTCCATGGTGGAAGGATTTCCGTCTTCCCTGTACTAGTATTTCGCACTCGCTGGGTGCACTGGATGCATACAAACTTGAAATAATCGAGCTCTCGAGTATTTATGAAGTTCGCAGCACCAACGGCAATGCGTGACAAAGGTTCCTGGCAGTACGGGGCCCATAAAAGGAACTTGCGTCCACCACCACAGCATGGACTTCTCGCGCGACCCCCCCGCCAAAGACAAATAAATGGCTAAGTTATCCGATGGCGATCTTTGCACTGGCGACAACATATCCGGACATCCGATCGAAATGGGTCCAAAAGAGCCATAAACCGCACAACTCTCAACTTAATGCCTATATGTCATCCGACCATCTGAACCCATTTGAAATAGACCGAATTAACGTCATTTCCTGTGGCGACCCAGCCCATCACAATTGAACGAAATGACCGAGGGCGTGGATCACGGGCTTGTCCGGCGCTTCGTCGATGACGACCCGACGTCGAACGAGTCACTTCTGCAGGCCACAAGTAGGAAGCTGCATGGCGAATGGATTACCCGTTGCACGTTCTCCTGACGTTGGTGTCTGTATAGAAGACGAGGCATCCCATCATACGGTCAGCATACAACTTTCCTCATCGTCGTCCGACCCCCCCAAATCCGCCGAGAAACCCCACGGAAAACCGGCCCCGCTCCTCTGGTGTGACGGCATCCGGGGTGTTGCGTCCCAAATCGTGTTTACGTTTCACTTGATCTACTGGTTCATTGTCGCAGAAGAGTACGCCAACACAACTTGGTACCGCACCCTGCGTGCCGGCAATGCGTCCGTCGAGATGTTCCTCATATTGTCAGGATTTGTCTTGACCGTTCGCTTCTTTGAACGAATGCAAATCATCGAGCGTGCTATCGCCGTGCAAGATTCGACCACTGTGCGCAACTTGTTTGTGGAAGCGTACCAGTCCATGGCGTCGACCGGTCTGCGCCGCATCCCGCGCCTCCTCGGCCCCGTTGCCATTGGCGCTGTTCTATCGATCTTCATTTCGTGGTATCGAAGCCAACCCGTGGATCTCTTCGAGCTTGCTGTCTCCGTCGTCAAAACGCTGTTCATAATATTCCCCAAGTTCAATTCAACGCTGTGGACGCTTCGAGTTGAGTTGGAAGGGTCCCTCTTCACGATGGCGTTTTGCATGATTCTGTCCAAGCTGCGGTACGCGCACCGCGTCGCATTGTGTTTGGTTGCGATTCCAATTTTCCACAACCAGTACGGCGACTGGACGGGTGAGAAGAGCCATTACTTTGGATGCTTCGTCCTTGGAATCCTCATGGCAAACATCATTACCAAGCAAAAGCACGAACTCGAGCATGGCCCATTGCCCACGCGCCTCGAAGCCGCGCCAGTTTTCCCACGCACGGTCCCCAGTACTCTCGGAGCGTCCCTCGAGACGTTGGGGTTGTCCTTGTGCTACCTCATCTACCACGCATGGCATGTCGTCCACAGCACGTGGCGATCGGTGCGCCACTGCGTCCAGCGCCTACCGCCTCTGCTTGCGCACGTCATGACCAACTCGGCCAACACGGTCGTGTTTCTCTTTGGCTCGTGGTTGTTCATCTATCGGCCAGAGTACGCGTCCGACTATGGCGCGATCGATACCATCGTGCACGCAGTATTTGAAAAGGAACACGCCCGCATGCTCCATCGCGTCGGCGCGGTGCTTATCCTGTACACTGTGTGCTGGTCGACATGGCTCCAGCGCATCTTCCAGAGCCGCGTGTGCCGGTACTGGGGCCGCATCTCGTTTTTGCTCTACGTTGTGCACTGGCCCGTCGTACTGTTTGTCGGCGATTTCGTCAAGCCATGGGTGAAAGGCCTTGGATGGCTAGAAGAATCGGCCAAGCGATTTTGCACCGTCGTGACTTATGTCGTGGCGACTGTAATTGCCCATGTCACGACGATATACCTCGACGAGCCGTACGTCAAGTGGCTTGGCGCCCTCGAAAAGCGACTCGACATGAAAGTCCCTCGCGCCGCACCCCACCAACACCCCGACGACTTGTCGCGCTGCGCATAACGCGCCCATCCAACGAGAACGATACCTCCCAATGTGTACAGAGTGCCGGTGTCCTGTATAATACATGGCTGTTGTTCAACAACGACCTCAGCCTTCTACACTCCCCGCTCGTGCAACATCCAGCCGTCGTCTTGCCTCCGTTCGGCCAATGTGCTCGCTCACCGTCGCTCCTTCGTTTCTTGGACCTCGGACATGTTGCCAGCCAAGGCTGCCGGTCTCCCTACGGTCCCGACTATAGTTGTCGCCGGCCTCGTGCTACAAGCAAGACATGAAAGTGAAATATACTATTCAACTTGATCCTATCTAATTAGTCGTGGAGACTGGAGGAACCCCTCACGGGGCATGCCTTTCGTCGGCGCCGGCGGGTTGCGGTACGTTGTCTGCATCCTCGGCCTCTACTACGTCCTGGACGCTTCCAGCGACGTCCTGCTCGACCTTGCTGACCTCTTTGTCGTTGTTCAGGTCGTTTTGTACTTGCCCGATCACATCGTTCTGTTCTTGATCGATCGTGGCGGCGTCGACGTGTTGGTTGGGATCGACTTGGCCTTTGAACACCCATCGCCGCCGCCGCACGCACCGCCCGACCATCTTGTTGAGCCTGCGATGCATCCCCGTGGGTTTCTTCCACCGAGTCGATGCCACGTCGACCTTTCTAAAGTCGCTAAACTTGGTCGCGTACTCCCAGTGCTTTGTGTCGGCCTCTCCCAGCGTTGTATCGACTGCCCATTCGTCCAGAGAGAGATGGTGGCCATGGTTCTGGAACCCGCCTTCCCGCATGTCGCGTGTAGCAAACGGGCACGGGTCCGTCAACCCGAACGGCGCACTCCACCCCACAAACACTTGGTACCTGCGCGATGCTCCACGGTGAGCCCGGGCATGCCCATCACCGCACAGACTCAACGACGCGCGCACGTACCGCTGGTACTCATACACATGGCCGTCCTTCTTGCGCGCGTCCCAGAACGCGATCTCTTCCTTGGACGCGGCTCGAGGACTGAGCACACGGACGACAGCCCGCTTGAGCGGCGCCAGCACGACCCCACGCATCGGGTTGAAGTGGCGGTTTTCACTCGGTTGTATCGAAAACGCAAACCCGCGGTGCTTGGGCTGCTGCAGCTCGAGCCACGGCGCATCTAGCACGCTCCCATGAGACCGCCATGGTACACAACGGGGTGCATGACGTGTTTACCAGGAAGCGCGTGCAGTTCGGACGTCAAGTAATGGCTGAAGTCGACTCGGAACGGCTTGTAGTTGCGAGGGTGCAGCGGTGGGCTCCACTCCGTGTTTGTCGTGAGCTTGTACCGCTCCGACTCTTGGAGGATGTGGTAGTATTCGGGCCGCCACTCGCGCTTCCACGCCTTGTAGACAAAGTCGCGGACGAGCGCGAGAACCACGCACAGGAACAGGAGCATCCAAAACTCGGGGAGCGTAAACAAGTGCGGAAAAACGTGGTCCGAGCTGTCGCTCGGGAACGAGTTGCTCAGGATAATCGCGCTGAAAAACCAAAACGGCACAGTCACCCACATGGCAAAGTGCATGCCTACCAACAAACGCAAGTTTGGATCGATCGATGGGTCGGATGAGACGTACCACCGTTCCAGCTCATTGCATTCAGTGCGAGCTTTGTCCATCCGACCACAATGAGCGCCGTGTAGCACAGCCCGCCGCAGTCGTACATGGTGAAGGCATATCCCGTCGACGAGATCGGGCCCAGCAAGTACACAGGAACGAGCGCGCATACAACCTAGCCCCACGGTCGTCAGGGTGCGCGGCTCGACATTCTCGACCAACGAAACGTACCCCTTCGTAGAGTGCTTCAAAGACCCACTCGGCCATGATCTTGACGCTGAGCAAGTCGCCTTGTGGTCCGATGTGGTACAGCCCGGGGTGGTCCTGCGCGACCTTCGCGCTCGTTTCTTGCTCCATGATGGCCACGATCATGATGGGCAAGAACGTCCAGAAGACGTTGTACCCGTTCAACCAGTTGTAGTTCATGAAGACCGTGCCTACGCACAGCTTCCGGTGAAAGCTCCGCAGCGACGAAAGACGACGGTGTGCACGAGGAAGCATGTCGTACCGCTGCCACACGCGGACAAGCTGAGCACGTAGAGCGCGAACCAACAGAGGATGTTCTTGTACACAACGTACAGAACGAGCTTGGACATGCGGCGGTAGTTCCAGTGGCCATGGACGAGAAGCAGGCGCTGGAGAAACGCAAACTGGGCGATGGCGAAGTCGGATGCGTTTACGGCTTGCATGCCCTCGTGGCCCGAGATCCCAACCCCGACGTGCGCTTCCTGGATCATGCTCACGTCGTTCGCGCCGTCGCCAATGCTCAGCGTGCGGCAGTTCTTCACGTTGTTCTTGACCAGCGCGACAATCTACCGTCCACCAGCCAACGCAAGTCAGCCAGTCGCCACTCACATCTATCGAGAACACAGGTCTCCACGGCGACGTCCGTGCGTCCCCCGGCCGTCGTGCCAATGCACTCAAGAAGACCGGGCCACGCACCTCGGCTTTCTGCTTGGGCGACACGCGGCAGCAAATGACCGCGGCGCATTGCTGCGCGAGCTCGAGGAAGAGAAACTTGAGCAACGGGTAATGGTACACCATGGTGAGTACGGGGCCGTCGATCACGAGCGCCTGGCTCGGCAACGCATCCATCGATTTCGAGTTGCGCTGCTTGAACAAGGACGTCCGCGTGCGATGGGCCTTGTCCAGCATGAGCGACTTGAGCGTTTCCGGGTTGCTCTTGCACAGATCCATGTTGAGCACGAGCCGATCCATGTCGTTCGTGATGAGCTGGCACGCAAACGCGATGTTGATCGCAGTCTCTTCCTTGTCACCCGTCAGGACCTACGGACACTCTCGCCCGTCATGCGAGAACAACCAAGCATCGGCACACGACCGTCATGAAACGTACCCACACTTTAATGCCAGCCTGCATCACGCTCGAGATCGCGAGTGGAACCCCCGTCTGGAGGCGGTCTTCGACTGCCGTCGCCCCGAGCAACTCCAACTCGCACTCCATCTCGTCTTCGAGCCGTTCGACGACCATCAAGTCCGACTAGAGGATGCGTATTATCAGCAAAGCCGAGCGTCGTCTCGATTGCCCAAGGGGGGCGTGTGGGGAAGCGATGTGATGACGGCAGTAGTACCTTGTACGTCGGCGCCGACTCGTCCAAGTTGGACAGCGCCTGCCTGTATTGCGCCGACCAGTCCAGGTACCAGTCCGGGCTAATTTCCCGCTGCGCCAGCACGAGCGTTCGGAGTCCTTCCTCGGCGTACAGCTCCATGTGTTGAACAGTTTTCGTCTTCAAGTACGTGTCGCCTTTGTCGCGAAGCCGTGGAAACACAATCTAGAGCATCGCATTGAGCGATTCCTTTCACACTCTCGCAAGAAGCACGCGAACCGTCCACCCTATCGACACACATCCACCACCACGATATCGTACCGAATCCGCGCCCTTTGTCAGCACCAAAATCCGGCCGTCCGGGGACCGCACAACAACCGACATGCGCTTGCGCGTCGACGTAAACTCAATCAACTCGAGCATTTGAAACTCGACGGGCCCCTTCTCGACAACGTTTACGACTGCCCGCCCGTTGGCCCGTTCGCAAAAGGTATACCCAAAGAAAGCCGCGCCCGCGACCAGCGCGAGCTCGTCGGGCGAACTGGCCGAAAAGTTGGTCGTGTTGGTCGAGTCGTCGCGCTCGAGGACGACGGAATGACATACGCTCAAGTGCGTCAAGAACGCGTCGATGGCGGCCGTGTGGCTTTGGTCCTGCGACCCGCGATCTTTGGCAAAGTCGCCGTGGGGATCGAAAAACTCGACGTGGGGGGGATGGGGCGTCGCGGGGACCGACAACGTCGTGGCCAAGTCCGTGACAGATTCCATTCGGCCCGTGCGGACGGCGGTCGCGCGGCCAATGTCGGTGCATCCGCGGCCATAGCTGCGGCCGTTGATGCTCATTTTGCGAAAGTTCATCTCGTTCGCGGTCAGCGTTCCAGTCTTGTCGCTAAAGATGTGCGTGATTTGCCCGAGCTCGTCGTTCAGGTCGGCATTGCGGACGGCAGCGGGGGTGTCGGACGGCGCATAGTACATGCCTAGACAGGCATCGACCGTCAGCACACGCATGGCAGTCGCCGCCCACAACGGCACAAGTCGCACCGAGATCGCGATTCATGAAGTACGCCTGGTAGCTCTTGACGATTGCGATCGACACGTACAGCGTGATCGGGACAAAGGACGAGATGAGGACCCAGTAGTACCCAAACGCAATGCAAATGCCCATGGCATCGCCACGAAACGCATTCAACCCGTCGCGAATGCTCGCGTCGTTCAGGGCGAGGTACGTCGGCGACGGCGTCCACCCAACCGCCACGTGGTCCCATACCGCGCCGACGACACAAAGCAAGACCATGATCACGAGGAGAATCACGTTCCCGCGATTGATGATTTCGATCGCTTTGCTCAGCTTGGTCGGTGTCTTGTGTGATGCTTGCATGATCTTGGTGTCCGATCCTACGTGCCATCATCACCCATCGCGCGCAGCGATGCCCCGCCGGCGGGACTCACAACACGCGGGCGACGGGATTACCTGTGTTGAGGACGAGCCCGTACACGAACGGCGTGTTTCGGATGACGCATCCCCGAAGGACGACGTTTTTCAAGTCGATGGGGATCATCGTCGCTGCGTCCGCCGACTCGAAGCGCCCCATGAAATTGTTCACGTCGTGGTTGGGGTGCTCGCATGCGACGCGGCCGGGCAGGTGGCCGATCGCAGCGGGGTCCTGGAGTTGGGCAAACGTACACGGCAGCGCCTGGCGGATCTTTAAGTTGGTTTCGCCGTCGAGCGATTTGGTTTCGATAAAGCACATGCCGACGGGAGCCGACGGGTCCGCTTCGTGCACCTGCACACGTCACCACGGCGTAGTGTCGCAAGAGTCAACCAAGCCACACGTACTGCCAGCAGCAAGATGTCGGCCGGCACGGCCTCGTACTTTTTGATCTGGAGCACGTCGCCCACTACAATGTCCTTCCACGCCGTCGTGCGAAAACGTGTTGGCACGGTCGAGTCGAACACTCGCGCTTCTCGAGCGTTCATGACGGCATCGGCCACGTGGCGATGGTAGTCTTCCACACCAGTGAATATGGCGTCCACAAACAGCACGACGCCAAGAACTAGCCTACGCAACGAGTGAGCGACAACTCGCATCCAACGATGCTGCGCCAACGAGCGGAGATGGCACCGCAACGGACCACGAGTACGGCAGCCCAAACGTGGACGTGATGGCTGGGATGACTTGGCCGACCCCGACAAGCAAAAAGTAAAAGTTGGAGACCTGAACAACCCGATCAGAGACACAGGTGACCATCGTGGAACTGGCGCACATCGGGTCAAGGGGTGGCGCACGGACCTGGGTGAATCGCTCGTAGCAGAACGCAGGCACGAACGTCCAAATGTTGTATTTCGCCGTGATGACTTGGTTCCCGGGAAACACTTTGTTCTTGTCGGGCTTGTTGAGGTATACGATGCGAAGGGTGGATGCGGGGAGCTCCAGCGACGACACGTGCCGGTCCAGCGCCACGACGACGGGCTTGACCGGCGACGAAGATGATCCTTCCTTCGCCATCGAACCACCGCTCGAGCAACGCGAGATGACAAGCAATGGGGGCGTCGTGTATTTCGAGAGCGGCGGCGGCGGTTTTGTAACGGAGGTCGTTCCGAAATTGGATTGCAACATCGCGACCATGAAACCACCGCCAGGACCAGAACACGTCAACGATCGCATGTCTCGTCCACATACTCGTTGGCGACGATGGGAGTGTCCATGCCTGTCTGCCATCCATCGCGTCCCCCTCCATCGGACGCACGATGGAGTTGGAGTCTATGCACGATGGAGTTGGGGTCTGTGCGCTTCCCGCAGCCATGAAACATCCACGCGGGTTTTCCGCTGCCCGCAACGGTGGATGCACCCTCTCGGTGGCCCCCATGTCTAGAGCTCTCTTTTGTCGGGTTGTGAAGCGGCCTGTGTCGACTGGGATGTGTTGGTGCCTAGCTATGTCGTGTGTTGTGGGCAGTGGCATCAACACAGACAGGAAGGACCGCGCGCGATGGCGATGTCGACGTGTTTACGTTGTGTAGAACGAATACCGAGACGGCCACCCTGGCTTATCAAAGCACGCAAACACGACGACAGTCGTCGCGGCGGCAAGATACCAAAACTGCCTTCGACAGTCCGCGAGCATGATGCGCTGGACGCGAAGGCGATCGACAGTCGCATTGGTAGAGTCGGCGACGGTGCTGTGCCGTTTTTGCATCTTGTACGCAAAAATTTCTCGCGACAAAAAAGACCCCGCCACTCGTGCGCCAAACATGAAAATGCACCGCAGCCACATGTTGACCAAACTGGCCATTGGTGTCTGCCACGAAAGAACGGCGGCGTGAGCACGTCATGGGGAGGCAGGTTGTTGACGTCCTACCTCTTTCGTTTCAATCCACGCGAGCCACGTGACGAGCGACGGGACTAAAATCAGCGCGCTCGTGTCGGCCATGTGATCTTGTTCCGCCAGCTTCATCAAAAAGTACAATTGCTGCAGCTCCATCGTCGCGTCGCGCGAGGATGAGTGGAGTAGAGGTGGGGCGTTCGCATTGGACGGGTCAATTACGTTTTCGTACGCGAGGCAGCGACGGTGCTTCTTCATCTACGAGTTGTCCGACGAGGTGGTCAACAAAAACCGCATGCATGGCCTTACCGAATCGTTTGGGACGTCGCCGTCGGCATGAAAGAGAGACATCGATGTGGCCGAGTTCGAATGCTGGCGGGGCGGCTGAATTGCTCGAAAACACACGGCCACAGACGACCCCACACACATCTAGACATGAAAACCAGCGTTCGTTGAGGAACAAGGAACGTGCGCACGCAGGAGAGAGGCATGTCCGTTGGAGACGTACTGACGCGAGCTGGGTCGTCGGGTGCAGCCAACAGGCCACAGTCAACGTCTCGACGGTGTCCGTGTAAATGCCCGTGTTGGCAAACACGACGTGGAGGTTGCTCAAAGCGAGCATGGCGAAGTAGACCAAGTCGATGGGGCTGTCGCTTCCGACCAAGAGGTACCAAAACACGTAAAAGTAGAGCTGACCCACGTACAACAGGGACGGATGGGTGTAAGGTGGGGCGAACCCCTGGAGCACTTTGGTCATGAGGTAGAAGTAGAGTTGCATGAGACCGAGATAGAGGCACGAGATGGCGAGTTTAGCGACGGGCGTCGGGTGATGGTCCACAAGAGAAAACAGCGCAAGACTCAGATGGCCGACAAATACCGGGACGTGGGTGAGGACAGTCGTAAAGAGCACCACCAAGTTGAAGTCGCCCCCCTGTAAACACACTGATCGATCCATCCATCGATCGAGAACGATGGTGTACCTGCGTCGTGTCGCGAGTGTGCACGACGAGCCACACGATGAGCAGCGGCGACAAAAAGTACGCCACACCCCAGTACACGTCGACAGCATTGGCGCGAGCCGAATGTTTCATTGGGAAGTAGGCGCACACGGTCAACAGCAGCACAATCCCGAGCGCAATGCCGCATGGAAGGACCATCTTGCCTGCCATGCCTACATGTGGATCGAATCCTACAGCTGGTTCATCAACGTTAGCTTGGGGCGAGTCCATGAGCGAGGGCGACGAGTGGCCTAAGCACCACGAAGTTGACAAACCATGCTTTTCCTTGCACGTACCGGAAGGCGACGCTGGCAACGACTGAAGCGCGGCCGCGTCGTCGTGAACTTCGGAAGTGTCGAGACGAACGCGGGGCTGCAGCGAAAAGAAGAACGGGACTCCGATGAACCCGACAATGCCCAAGAGGAGATTTCCCATGAGCCAGCTCAGTTTGCTCGGCCCCATGTGGCTGTGATGGTGATTATGGGATTTGCCACCGGTCCACACAAACAGCTCAATGGCACTTGTGAACGCACTGCACAGAAATAGGACCTTCCAAAATATCGCTATCATGCGCGGATGGGCGTTCGGAAATCGATACATGACAAAGAAAGGCGTTGCCAGCACAATCAACATGCAGTAGAACCACACCGGGCCTGCACTGAGGGTATACCCAACAACCCCGCCGAGACGACCCAGCGCACTCACGCCCACCACAGCCATGAGCGTGAGCAGCGGGAAAGTGCATCGCCACGCAAAAAAATACCATTCGTGGTGATTCTTGAGCTGCAGCGATCGGTCTTGCCTCCAGTTGTGCAGACACGTGTACGGGTAAATGAAGCACGACCACGCCCATAACAGACATGCATGGATGAAGGAGGCGCCTATGGCGACGCATGTGAGCGCGCGCTGGATGCACCGGCAGCACCCCAGCATGGGACGTTGGATGATCCACCGTTGTACCGCTGTTGCCTCAACGAAAGCATGCGATTGGTCCATTCGGTGTCCGGATAATTCGATTATACAATATTCGACAGTTCGTGAAATATCTTTTACCGTTGACTGTGAATACATCAACATTCCAGCTCGAATTATTGGAATTCAAAATTATTTTGAACTCTCCAAATTTTGCCAATTTGACATGACAAAATCGGGATGTCAAAATTGCTGAATTGTCGTCGGGTCGAAATTGTGGGGACTTAGCGAAATTTACACGACAGCAAAATCAACCGAGAGGCCCTCACGAGATGTATGGGGCGCGGATGGGGTACTCCACGGTGCAGAATGCTGCAGTGACCTGCACAACCTTGTCTTTTCGAAGCGGTACCCAAGGCACTGGGTGTGTCTCTACGGCAAACTCCAGTGATCGTCGCCACCGATCGAACGGCTGGTGGGCTTTTCGTCGGAGGCGGATCGTAACATGCCATGACACACGAGTTGAGCAATCGATGCAACGAGCACAGGCACGATGGCAATCGAGTTGCGCATTACCCGATCAAGTCCAACGTTTTTACTTAACGACGACGACGTCGACTGTCGAATCGGCGGCGGGCTGGACAAGCGGAGTCACTTCGTTCGCCATGTCCGCTTGCGCCTCTTTGTCGTTCACGTATCGGTAGAGCCAATACATGAACGGGATGTTGACAAGCGGCATGATGTTGCTCATGTAGATGATTGTGTCGACAGAGAAGGTAAGCACGAGGAAGATATTGATGATGGATGTCGTGATCATGATGCCGCCCATCAAGACAGTGACGAAGCGTGACGTGTCGCGCACAATGGGTTTTTCGTAGTGCAAATCGAGCTCTTCCGACGTTTTGACCGACATCGTTCGTCGGAACTGATAGAACAAGTCTTCCTCGAGCCAGTGCACGGACAGGATCATGAACACACCGATGGGTGCCGCCGAGCCTACTTGAAACACAAGCAGCGTCTTTGGATCCGTCGCGAAAATCGTGATCGCCACTGTCACGAGGACTCCGACGACTTGGATGACGGAAATCGCGTCTTGCTGCTTGAGACACACGAACGTCACCAACGTTTTGAGCATAGGGATCACGCCCGAAAGGAACACTGCAACGATTTCACTCGTGTACTGCTTGGCCAGATTGTAGATCGCCACCGGGAGCGCGATGTTAAACAGCATGACTGGCGCTTGATGCTTGACCAACGTCAGCGCCTTGCTGTAAAACGAAGGTTCCAGCGCCGCCTTGGCGTTAGATGGCGTCTGTGTGGCCTCGGTAGCAGTGGATGGCTTCTCCATTGCGCTGGGGGGAGTGCCGATGAAAGTTGCTATGGCACCACGTGGTCGTCTCGATGGCACACATGCCGTGTCCCGTTTACGTTTGGCTGGCGGATGGTACACCTACATTCTTTAGGTCACCATCACTCTGTGTGCATCCGTCAAAATACCTTAAATAGCTCCTACAATCAGTAATACAATACCTACATTCGAACCATCATTCTGTAACATGTACGTGAGCTTTCGGTCTCCATGGGCATCGCGCTACTCCATGCGGCCCCCGTCGACTGTCGAGCAAGAAGCGGGTGTCAGAGCAGTGGGCTTAGATGGTGGTTGTGTACGCAAAGATTGATTTACTGAGCGGATCGTGCTGCTCCGGTTGCATTATTTGGTCGATGGTACAGGTGGTGACGCGCCATAGCCGCTGGACTTGCCCATGGCTTCAACGGTCGTGCCTTTGTTCAGCTGATAGTCTGCCGAACCAGTCCAAAGCATCGTGCCACCGTACTTGGTGTAGCCATCCGATGCATACCGTTGCAACTGGGGCAGAGATGGCGACGCACCAAACGCACACGCACCTTCGTCACCAGGCTTGCCGACGCACCCCCCCAAGACAAGTTTCGATGGCGGCACGGCTGCAGTCCAAACTGTCGGAATCGTCACGTTGAGCAATGTGTCGTAGGCCGACTAGAGAAATCGCCATGAGCTGCCGTCGTGACATAGTTCCGTCCAACGGACGCACCCCTCGTTCGACATTATACATCATCAAGTTGACTTGATCGACGACTTCGCCGATCGTCGGGTTGTAGCATCGCTGGTAGTCACCGTTGGGATCATTGCAATTCGAGTCCACGGAGGTCGGGAACTCGTCCCACGTGAGTCCAAACCGTGGCTCGTTCGGTTTGCGGTCGAGGTCGTCGAGGGCCTTGCGAATCGCGAGCAGGTACGACACAACGTGGGAGCTGGCATTGCTTTTCCAATTGCCGCCAGCCAGGATGTTTCCGCTTTCGTCGTCGATATCGATCCCGTCAAAGCCAAATCTGTCCCAAAATCCCTGTCATGTCAGCATCGTGCAACAACTCGATCGATTCGTCGACATCTACGCACTTCTTCACCAACGCTGCTGCTGTTTGACCAAACGTTGCAATCTTTTCGGGCGTGTTCAACGCGACAAAGTTTGCGCGTTCCGTGGCGCCGCCAATGCTGGCATACTGCTGCACGCATTTTCTATCGATGGGGTGACGATATCGATCGAAACATGGAGGCGGTCCTGGCCAGGACGGACGTACTTCTTCATGGCGTTCACGCAGTCCAAGAGCGTGGCGTCGTTGCCTTGGAATGTCTGCGCGACCGCGCCTGTTTTGTTGTTGATTACCGCAAAGCCCCAGTATACGTGCGTGACGTATTGGAACGCCGCCGTCTTCATAAACTGGCGAGACAAGGTTGACGTGAGCAGTGGTGACTCACGGACCAGTCTACCTCGCGGCAGCCATCAGTGTGGCTTTGCCAGAAGATGGAGAACGTCTTGTTGGGCTCGGGGCATGCTTGACACTTGTTCTGGTCGTCCAGGAACATTCGCCGCGAATCGCACACGACCGTCACGTTGGCCTCGGTGGCATTTGGCTTGGTCGAGTTGGCCGAGATGTTTGCAGCAGTCGTGTTTGGAGGGTCGCCCGTGCTTGGCGCAAACAGCCCCGTCTTGGTGAAGTACGTGGCGATCACGACGCCCGCGGCCACAACAACAGCTACGCCATGCAGATCATGACCCAGGCGATCGAACCCGTTGAATGGACGTGTACCAGATAGAATTAAGGGCCACCAGTGGCAGCCGCGTTTTACCATGCTTGGCTGGTCGATGGCGTGCCGAAGGAAACTCGAATGGTGCATGACATCAAATGTTGGGACATCTTGTTTTGCAGAGGCGCGGCGCCACGGTAAAAGCTCGTCGTGGCAAATGACCGATTCGGACCTCGCTTCGTCCAGATGATTTCCACCGAGTTGTTCGACCGGCTCGCGGAGGTGCATGCCTCCTTTCGACTGTATGCACCACCGCAAAGCGCGAGCTGCGCAAACCACAACGGAACACACTGCTTGGAATGGTACGACTGGTCCTTGTGCGAGGCTGCTGCCACCGTTGTGCGCCGACGACTACCATGTCATGCGAATATTGCCATCGAGTTCTGGTGGATCTCGTGCGCTGCATTTGCCCACCATCCACGTAATTTGAGGTCGATTAGAGGAAGGCATGTTGTGATTTATAAGTCCGAATTGCATGTGGCTGGGGTCATCCATGGACGTCGTCGTGCGCATGTCAAAGTGGGCAAAGTCGCTTCGGCTGCCCGAACAACGAGCCGCCACGGGCGGCACACAAGCATGCTTTCCCCCTTGGAATGCGGCCCGCAACGCTTCGTCAAGCTTGACCGATCGGTTGCTGTGACGAAAGGTCTTCATTTTGCACGACAGAAATGTCCACGGGGAGTGTGATGGCATCGCGGCGCTCGTTCACGTAGCTCTTTCTGCTCAATCCTTCTTTCTATACCCGTCGCCGTTCAATGCAAAGGGGGGGTCGCGTTGTCTCGAAACGATGTCATCGATGGTACCTTTGCGATCGACACAAACACTTCAGGAAGAATCGCGTCGTGTTGGGGATGGCCCGAAAGCGAGATCGCGTCGAAGAACATGCGCTGGACATGTGAATGGGGCGTCGAGTAGACCTGCACGCGACCCCCCCTCAGTCCTTCCACGGCCCACGCATCCTCGAGAGCAGCACCTTTTGAACCAAACTGTTAAACTCGGCAAAGCACAGCACGCCGTTCTTGTCAATGTCGGCCGCGTGAAATGCCTACGCAAACGTTCATCGTGCTGTCCTTGACGAACGCATTGCAACACCTGCACCAAGTGGTTGTGAATGGCAAGCTCGACCGCCTCAAATGCATCGACGCAGATCGCGAGGGCATCATCTCGATCGACATACGTCAGGCTTGCCATGCTAAACCCTACGTCCGTTCGAGTCAAGTAACGTCGTCGTCACAACAGTCGTCGGTACCGATGTCATGGTGAGTCGCTGCTGGGGGCAGCTTGGACAGCTTTCCTTCAATTGCCTTGTACGTTGCATCTACGGCCATGTTGCGCGCGACTCCATGGCGTGCCCGTCGGGGGAGGGTACCGGGGTTGTGGTGAACGATCTCGAGCATGCACCCGGGCTCATACTTTTGGATCAAATCGACTGCCTACGTTCCAAGGGTCCATGAGAGTCATCGGTCGGGTCCGGAGGGCTGCATACGTGTCGAACGAGGTGGGGAAGGAACCACACTGGAATGACTGCTTCATGCTAGACGAGTTTGTCAGGTGCCATCGTCGCCCCCGAACGATACTCGATGGATGCCGAGGCCAACGAGGAGCCCAGCATAAAAATCCAACGCGTCGAGGCTCAGCGGCGTAGTGTGTCTCAAGTGGCACACCCGAGCGCACAGGCGAATCTGCCGAAGAGCCACAGTCCCAACGACATCCGACCAGGACGGGACCCTCGTACCTCTGGGTCGTGCTTCCAGAACTTTTTCACGGATGCGATAAAGTTCACCAAGTACATTTCCGCCACATGCCGGAGGCCGTATTTGAGAGCAAAGAAACGGTAGAGGAATTCCCCCACGGGCGATCGAAGCTCGTCTATCGCGCGCGCAGCATACACCTTTTGTCGGTGCTTTAAGATCGAATCGAAAGGACGTCTTGGGTCCTCGGACGCTACCTCGTGCAGAAGGAGCTTGAGCTGGGCGACGCACATGATTTTTGGTTTGTGGGGCTGGGTCTTTCCAACGATTTTGAATTCCTTGGCGACGATGGATGGCACGTCGTTCAGTCCAGGAACTGGTGGTGGTGCCGTTGCCGCTTTGGGCGTGCGATGCAGCGGTCGCTTTTTGCTTGATGGAAGCGACTCTGCGGGGGTATCCAACCGTGCCGTGGTCGGAAATTTGCCAACTGCAGGATCTGCCACGGCGCGCGCACTGGCCTCCACCTCAGCACTTGGCTCGACCGTGTACGATTGAGGTGGAAGGGGGGCATCAAGCATTCGATCGGCGGAACGGGAAGGGGAGTCCGATACCATGTCGGCTTGGGATTCTTCGTCTGCGGCGGGACAGGATGTCGTGATGGCGTCTTGGAGCTTGGCGAGCTTGGCCAGCGCTTGCAAGTACGTTGGCTGCTTTTGCAGCGTCGAATCCGTCTACGTTACCCAAGTGGGGCGACGCACGAAGATGGACTGCCAATGTACCGACCTGGGTCGATGCCGTCGTGCGAGTCTGCTTGGCTTTGGCCACGGCAAAGTTAAAGTCTTCGAGTTTCGAGTTGATGGATGCGATGCTGTCCATCAATTCTTTAGTCGAGTCTGCAACGCGTGGACTGGGCGAGTAGTATTGATGGACTCCCTGCGGCGCAGTCGAAGGGGTCAGGGCATCCACGACATCCCACCAGCTCGTACCAGGCGAGCCTCGTGGGCCTTGGTCAGCATCGGCGCAGTCGCGACGCTCATGCCAAACGAAATATTCTGCATCAGGACGGACGTTTGCTGATGCACGTGGCGCAAGTCGTCCTTGGCATCGCTGAGCTCCCACGTCAATCGAGCGCGCTCTTCCTAGCCATTCAAAACAGAACTATCTTGACGGCGCGCGAATGGCCGACTAGGTCAACGTACACTGAGGCTGAGCTTCCACCAGTCGAGCGACAAATCGCGCACAAGGCGAGTCACTTCCCACACAATCGCTTTCATTTCTTCTTCGAGCTCGTCGATAGGGACATCATTTGGCACGCCGTCGAGCTCTTGCCACTCGCGCTTCTACTCACAAACATGGCACGATGTTATGACATGCGACGGAATGGATCGTTCCGGGGTCGCTCGAACCTGGAGTTTGCGGCGAAACAAGTCCTTCGACAGGTGCATGAGCGCAACGATCCGCGCCATCCGCATCCGCTTCCCCGCGAGTTTACCCCTCGCCATCCGTTGGATTTGAATGGCCGCCAGCGTCATCGACTCGGGCACGACGGAATACCTACCACACCATGCACGATGTCCATGAGATGCTCGATCGACACCCATCCCACCGTTTTTGCAACGTTTGCTCGAGCTGCGCTGTGATCCGAAGCCGCATGCGCGTGTCAATGTCTTTTTGCCGCGCGGCGTCGGCGCTCAACACGGTCGCAAAGATCGATTCCCGAAGCCTCTGCCAAATCGCTGAATCCTCCGACCCGCCATGCGCTTGTCGTACCTGCATCGAAATGAGCTCGAGCCGCAGTGCTTTGACCTGCGCAAACACATTCACCCGTCAACATCCTCCGAATTTCCATCGATCGATACACGTTCCTTAGCCGACAAGATCTTTCCCACTTGCTGGACTTGGTCGATGTGAGCAAACGTCAGTACAGCCTCACTATGCCGTCGAGTCTGGCGCACGCATGAGTCCTCCAACGACGCACTCGACGAGTTCGTGCGCCCGACGCTCGCCGATGGGCATATTTCGTCGGGTGGCGTGAATGAAGGTGCTGCCACGGAGGATTTGATGCCACGAGGGGTTATTTTGGCGATGGAACTGGCCGTGCGCCTGCTCATTCTCGATCAAGAAGTGCGGTGGGTTCCCCCACTTCGGGATCGTACTGGAGACGATTAAGCGGCGCACGTTGGCTGTTGTGGCGGTCGCGTTTGGATGGTCGAGTGAACGCTCGGGTGTCGTCGTTGTTTGTGGCGACCACCGCATCATGTACTTCTTTGGCAAATGTAAGCAGCCCTAGCCTCTTCGACCGCTCCACGTCGTTGTGCAGTGGGTCCACGTGGACGGTCCATATTTGCCTGAGGACTTGCGCCAGCTGCCAACCACACAAGGCCCATGTGACATCGTTTTGCCGACGCAAGTAAGGTGCCCTACCCCTGCTGTTGACGGCTGCTGTTCCAATTGCGCTGCCACTTGAAAGAAAATGTCTTGGAAGTATGTGTGGCTGGGCTTCCCGTCGCACTGATTCGGACTCATCGTGTGGGCGGTCAAAGACGCCATGAGCTTGGCCGCGACGAGCCGCATGGGGTGTTTGACCAGCGGCGAATCTCCGCCTGATGGCACCCGCTTGGAATTCACCAACAAGCACGACGTTGGTCTCGACTTGGTGGCCCCACTGTGTTTAGATCTGTCGTGAATTAACCGAGAGTTCAGATCCGATTGTCGCTCCTCCTTTTGCAGCACGAGGACGCCGGTGGAGTCATCCGCTGGCGCGTCTTGAGTGGGCGGCATGAAGACTTTGGTCGCTGTGATCGATGTGGTCGCAACTCGCAAAGGGGACGGCTCTTGGTCCACAAAATCTTGGACTTGTCGCTTGGTTGTCAGGACCGAGGGCAGCGCGATGAGGTCGGGTGTGGATGCCGACACGCCACTACTAGTGTGCTACGCAGACTGCATTGAATGCACCCAGCAGGGAGCAACGACGGAGCATTACCATGTCGCGCAGGGCGGTCAAGTACGGCTCTTGAGCCACGGCCTGGCGAACGAGTGCGGCGGACGCTGGGTGGGACGAGTCTGGCCCGAGCAGTATCACGCGGGAGTGGCCTCCTGTGGTCAACATCGGCGTGCGAAATGGAGCGGACGATGGCCGTGACATGCCAGCACCCGCCGCCACAAGTACCGTCGACGCGGCACCAAATCTGCCCGTTACGAACCGGTTACATCGGTTACACCACTCGAAAAGAAAGGCCAGTCGTTGTTAAGTACAGCTCGAACGAAGACAGGGGAAGCTAGATTGAGTCTCTAAGGGGTTTGCTTCTTGGATGCAGCGCCTTTTCCCGCCGGTTTATTCGCGTACGTCTTGATGAACGGCTGGTTCTTCTGGGCTTGCGCGACAGCGGCTTGGAAGGGCGAGGGGAACTTGGACACGCTGGCAGTCATCAACGGCGGAGGGGCAACCTGCCCGCAGCCATGAAATACGAATGGTCAGGAACACGTACTGGGGACGGGATGCCCAACGCAGCTTTGAGCCCAGGGATCTTGAGCACGAGCGTTTGCGTCAACGTAAAGATGTTGGAAGTGACCCAGTACAGCAAAATGCCCTACGCAACACACACACACATGCGTTGGAGGAAATGGATCGCTGGACGAACCGCACCGATTCAAAATTTATCGCGACGGGAATCATGATTAACGCGACCGCCCGCATCCCCATCTTGGCCTTGTCGATGTACTCGGGAGGCATGCCTTCGCCGCCGGCCTACACGTCCCGTCAGACACGTGCCACAGCCATGGGGCGGCGGCAGCACGAACCTCGAGAGAAGCCACCATGAGCGCCGACGAAATCACAGGCAATGCGTAGGTCGGGTCGGGGGCAGCCAAGTTCTCAAACCAGAACGCGCCATCAGTGGCGTAGCCAGGAATGTACTTGGAGATATCTTGAAGGCCCCAGAAAAAGCCAAGGAAAATCGGCAGCTACGGCCAACTTAAGATGCCGCTGTTCGGCTACGTGCACACCTGCGAAATCGGCATAAGGAACGACATGAACGGGCGGACCTTGTGCTCCTTGAAGAGGGCCTACAAGTTGCAATGAGCGTGCAATGACGTCGCAATGAAAAGACCTGCGCCCGTGCTCGGAATTCTGTCATCTTGGCCGGGTCGTACGCATCTGGCGAGTTTTTGATTTCGTTCTGTAGCTTCTCCAGCTTGGGTTGCAGAATTCCCATGCGAGCCGAGTTTTTCATCTGGCGGGAGCGACAATGCCGAGATGGTTGAGGCAACGTCGCATACCAAGTACCAAAGGCGTACCGACATGATCGAGATGGGGAAGAACGCCGACCGGACGATTACCGTCGTGGCGATGATCGTGGCCCACCAAGGCAAACCCGACATAGCATGGACAACGTCCATCGTGCGGATGGCCATCTCCGCCAACGAGTAACCTGCACATGAACCAAGAAAACAAAAGTGAACTCGTGTTCTGGTTTGAGAGAAGGGTCGACGTACGTACCCATATCAACCGTGACGGGGGCGACAGCAGTTTGGAATGCGTCCACCGCATTGTGTGCCGCAACGGCGTCCACATTATGCTGAATCGCGGTCAAGTTGTCGACCGCCGACAAGTCCGTGGCTTCATCCTTGTTGGCAATGGGGGTATGAGAGAACGCACGATAAGCACCTGGTGCACGCGTTGTCCTGCACATAATTGGGATTCGCTCTATGAGATGGTCTGTATATTGTGCAAGAGTCCTCACTTCGTCACGCGGAGGAACTGACCGACGGTCGCCGCGCGCGCGCCGCGAGCTTGAATGAGTGTCGCCACACGCAGCATTGGCCAAATGAAGCAGACGGACCAATACTCGTTTCCACCGGATAAGCATGCTTCCTAGCCAATCAGGGACCTTAATTTAACCGGATTGAATTTAACTGCATCGAGTTGCTCCATGGCGGTGGAGACGTTGCTAGAACAGTATGCAGTTGCTGTAGCCGTTGCTCAGAACCTTCCGCCGCTCCACTTCGCCGCGACAGGACTGTCGATGTGAGTGATGCTATGCTAGACATCTTTGCCGTTCCCACAACGGAATCAGCGTCGTACAACTGCGTACGGTGGTGCCCGCCTGCGATACATCGGTCCCTAACGTTCGTGAGTGCTGTGGCACAGCCCGAGAGTTCCGCCACCATTCGTTCCACCTACACAAGATCAAGGTGCTGGTCCGCTGCAACTTGAATGACGTCGTTTTGCATGCAATATTTGATCTGTAGTAGAAGCAAGCCACTCTCTCACCTTCCCGCCTCTTGCTCGGGTGCGGCAACAAAAATCCCCATCGAGGCACCCTTCTCAAAAATTTTGTACAAGGGAGCTCGAGCCTTATCACGCCCTTTCCAAGGACCTCCCGACATGGTCTACTACATTTTTTTCTCATGAGGCCAAAACTCCAACAGGCATCCTTTTTAGTGGGAAGCGCGTGCTGGCAAGCATGACGATGTCACGCCAATTCGCCTCCGGCGGCAATTCAAGCCACCACTTCAGCCCCCTCACAATGGTGGGCAGTGAACAGGGCTTGGCCGACCTCAAGGGCCGACCACCAGCTCCCTCAGAGCACCAACGACCGCGAACCAGCCGCCGCCCCAGACTCACACACCCCAAGTAGAATATTTCTATGGCTTCAACCTCTCACGTCTCGCGGGGTGAACAACGCAGATCACGCTCTGCCAGGGAACTAGCAAGTATGATCTACCCACTTAAATGTATACATGCATCCAACGCATGCGAACGAATCTACTCGGCCAGGTCCTTCAGAGGTGTGTTTTGAGCATGGTAGTTGAGGTTGTTGTCGATCTTGTCGATTGTCGAGAGCTGTTCCAACGTCAAGCCTTTGGTCTCAGGGACGCAGAACGAAAAGAGTAGGCCGAGGAAGCAACACCCCGAAAAAATGTACAAGACCCCGCTGAAGCCAAAGCTCGACTTGGCCACGACCGCGAACGCCTGCGCCGCCAAAATCGCCCCCGCTTTGCCGGACGCCGCCGAGATTCCGTGGCCCGTCGACCGGACCTGGGTCGGGAACACCTCGGCCGGGATCACAAACGTCGTCGTGTTCGGGCCAAAGTTGAAGAAGAACTGCGCGAACGAGTACATCACGACAAAGACAGTCCGGTGGCTGGTTTTGAGGTCGTCCAGCCAGATCGCCATGGCAAGGAAGAGTAGAGTGAGCATGACAAACCCCATGTACTGGATTGGCTTGCGGCCCCACCGCTCAATGAAATAGACCGTGAACCAGTACCCCGGCACAGTCCCGCACATGTTGATGATAGCCGTCCCGACCGCGCGGTTCCACAGGTCGTCAAATGTCTTTTGCTTGCCCTTGGTCTTTGGCGCGCCATACCCGATCGCGTCCAAGATCACGGGGGTATTGAGCGACGTGCCGTAGTACCCAATGTCGAGGAAGAACCAGCACGCGGCGCACCCGATGAGGACCTTGAGGTTGACCCACTTGGAAAAGTGGGAGCGGAACGCGTCCGAGAACGACTTGGTCGTGCGAGTCGCATCGACAGGGACCGGCTCGTCAAAGGTGGGGCCGCCCAAGAATTGCGTCGCGTTACGCACGCCGGCTTCTTGGTCGCCGAGCACGTCGGCCGTGAACCGAGGGGTCTCTGGGATGCGAAGGCGCCAGTACACCGCTGCCAGTGCCGGCACCGCGCCGAATCCAGCCAGGAGGCGCCACACATACCCGATGTGGTTCGGGTCCTCGACAATCGACGTCTGGAAGAACGACAGCAAGATGATTGCCATGACAGCCCCCGTGATAATGCCAAACCCTTGCATGGCAAACACGATCGAGATAAACTGGCCGCGGCGGTCGCTCGACGCAAACTCGGACGTGATCACGGCCGACACGGGGTAATCCCCCCCGACCCCGATCCCCAAGATGAAGCGCCACACCGCCAGCATGATGAGCACGTTGTCCGCGTTGCCGTCCACAGGCCACACGGCGACTGCACACAGCAACGCGCCCCCAATTAAGATCATCAGCTCGACGCCGTACACCTTTTTGCGGCCGAGGATTCACCCAAGATCGCAAACGCGACTTGGCCGACCATGTTGCCCCACGGCGCCGCCGCCTTGACCCACCCGTCCGCGAGCGACGAGGGCAGGCTTCCTTGGTGATAGTACTCCCACGCAATCATGGGCACGATGAGGCCGATCACAAAGTTATCGTACGAGTCGACGAAGAAGCCGGAACCTGCCACGAGCATGGCGCGGACGTGCGCGGACGAAAACTTGGCATTGTCCAAATCTTTGAACGCCACCGACCGACTCGTCATGGTTGGTGGGTGCTGATCAACGTGTAAATTCTTGAATGGGAGACGATTGTGCTGGGCTCGGTCAGTCGGGGGGAAGGCACATCAGAGCCGCAGGAGCGTGTACTTTGTGCACGTAGATTCGATTGGCATGGCGATGGAATCTCGGGTAGAAGAATCCGTTTTCACTCAAGTTCCATCTCCCGAATTACATATACATCGGAATCTACATATACATCGGAATCTCGACTCGTTGGCGTGGCTGGGCGATCCAGAGCGGAATCACAAACTTACAAGTCCTATACCAGGGCCGATCTACTGACGTGAAGTTCTACTGTACCTCTGTCCCAGAATGACCTATGCATTTCACAAAAATGTAGTATTGATTAAGCTCAATTTTTCGAACTTTGACACAAAAATTGAACCAAAGTAGTCAAAATGATATGACGATTCGTACTCAACAGCAAACCCACTAAAAGCATCGCAGCGGCCACGACTTTGATTTAGGAAATTTCAGCCAATCATACACTCTTGCATACGTCAATAATAGTCAATCATTTCACCATATGTTTCTACATCATCG